AATGTGACACGCTCAAAATGTTGTGTATGAGCTCATAGGGTGGTGGTGCTCTGCTTTCAAATACAGAATAAAAACGAATAAAATTCCTATTAGTGGCAGCTAGTCTCAGGGGAGTGGAAAACTGACAGGTTGTGTTTGTGTGTGTGTGGGGGTGTGTTAGTATGTAGATATGCTCTGTAACACCCTTAAGTGCAGCAGAGCGAATAAATAAAGATGCAATGAGCACAAGCACGTTGTTATGCAGATGTAGGTCAAAAAAGATACAGTAGAAAGGCCAGAAGAAAGAAATCACAAGATATAATGCAAGACATAAAACATCAACAGTGAGCATAAATGTTACATAGTGTTGTCAAGAGTGCACTGTTGAAAATAAAATAGAAAAACACCAGAATAACCCTCCTGATTAAAATGAAAACCTACATTWAAAAATTTCAGCTTCAAAGTCTTTGTATGTAAATGCCCTGAAATCATGTTTCCTGCGACATTAATTTTGAGTCTGAAAACTCAGAAACAGTYATCTGATTATTCTCAATGCAGATGTGTCTGTCATCATCTGAATTATGCCACATGGTAGTCAAGCTGCTCAAAAAATATTTCTGGGTTTAATTAGGTTACAAAGTAGAAATGCTGATACRCTTACATGATTTGTAGCCAAACATGTGCAAAAAACACAAAAATACAAATATATGTAATATGAAAAAAATAAACCATCAATTTATATGCGATTCTGCAGAAAGCTTTCTTTAATGTATTGTAATAACAGAAACTGGAGTAAAATATTGTCCCAAATATTTSAAGAGAAACAACATGCATGGGTATCTGGTCTCTATTAACATCTGCTTCTGAGAAATGAACATGAAGGGAACTTGTAACTGAAYGATTTCACTCAAGAATGAACTGTTTTTGCTGAGGGGTGATTTATTGTTATTCTGTGATTCAGAGTACTTTAATTCTCCAGAAGCTATTGTGTTTCAAACACAGAGGATCTTCAGCTGCCAGGAGTTGGATCCAAACGTAACGTGTTAACATACGCCCATCATCTATAAGACCCGCTCTCCAGAGACAAAACAGAAGAGCAATTCTCTGACTTGGCTGCTGTTCTTGGGAAATCCAACTGAGTCACAATGACACCAAAGCTCAACATGATGCAGTAGGGGTTACAAAATGGAATGAATCCATTAAAAGGTTTAATATGTTGTCAACCTTCAACCAAGAAACGAGGAAAATACGTCAAAGTGAGTGTGGTTACAAAGCACCAATCTGGAGCCTTTAGTTTCCTAGTTTATTTGATAAAAACACTGATTCATGTGTTATTATTCTAGGAGTACTTCTGGAAGTAAAACATGAGGGTAACCCCGTTCATCAAGCAATATAAACTCTGGTAAGCTCACAAAAGACATTGTACCTCCTAAAATAGACTGCAGAGCGTTTGAATCTGTCATTTAATCTATCAGGTCTTTACAACGCCCATTTAAAATGTTAACATCTGTAAAGTCTGATTTATCATCCAATGTTGTGCTCAGACACAGCATTCAGCAACCTAACCTTCTCAAGCATTTGAAGCCATCCTTCCTCTTTTTAAATAGCACCTTATGTGGCTGTAWAGAGCTGACTAATGAGCCAGTCAAGAGAAAATGCCCTTTACCTACAAGGTTAATAAGTTATTGCTATATAATCAAGCACATGCAACTCCCAACACCGTTCAGTCCACTTCCTGAACTCAAGCGTTGCACAGCTGACAGTAAACATCCTGTGACAAATRGATGTTGCCCTTACTGTTTTTATCGTTATTGAATGAGTTCAGTGAATAGAGCTGATGGAAATAAGATGAGTTTGGGAAGATTCAATGGTGTGCTCATTATTGGTAATATACTGTATATATGTTGATTGGTAGGCCGGCTGACCAAAAAGAATTGGACCAAGGCTACAATCAAACAATGATTAGGTTTAGGTTTGGAATGATTAGACAAATGGTGAAATAATAATCACGGCCTAAAGGCACTGTCACACAGYAACATTTTAGCCAACTTATGCCAACTTATGAAAAGTTATAAGACACATACATTGAAGATGGAATAAAAAATGAAAATGTACATGCCTCTTTTAGGCATGTACATCTATAATGCTAACACACTGATCAAATAAATAACTTTTATTAGTGATGTAGGGTGGACTAGGGTCGATCTAACGAAATGTGTGCTGATTGGCTGAAATACWGTATGTTGAATTTAGAGCCAACCGWATGTCAAYGGCATAATGTCTGACTTCACTGCACTGCAATGACCGTGCCCTTCACTAAAATTTCTTTGTGCAAGGCAAAGCAAGTGAGATCAAGTTCTTATCTGTGTTCTGACACAATTTGTTGCTGAWTYGGTGAAGAGGGTCAGAGATGGAGCTTTCTAATTCAAAAAAAGGTCAYTTTCTCTTGTCAAGGGGYGGGGTTTTGATGATGTATGACCACATGGTATGGTCAGGCATGCAACAAGGATGACTCATAACAAGTCTGATGTATTTTAGCCTTTCTATGTGAAAGTTACAGCTGTCTGAAATTGTAACAGACTGATRGATTCTGTTCACAACTTTTATGAACAGAATTTTTGGTGCAGCCAGGGGGCAAAGGGAGTCTGGCTTGGTGGCTTCAGAATTTCACCTCTGCTATTTACAGACGATGTGGTCCTTTTGGTGTCATTCAACTGAATGCCATGATCTTCAGTTCTCACTGGAGCAGTTCGCAGTCGAGTGTGAAGCGACTRGAATGAGGATCAGCACCTCCAAATCTGAGTCCATGGTCCTCAGCCGAAAAATGGTGGCCTGCTCTCTTTGGGTTAGGGGTAAGGTTCTGCCTCAAGTGGAGGAGTTCAAGTATATTGGGGTTTTGTTCMCGAGTGAGGGAAGAATGGAGCGTGAGATTAACAGACAGATTGGAGTGGCTTCATCAGTATTGCAGACTCTGTACCAGTCTGTTGTTGAGCGGGAGGTGATATGTAAGGCAAAGCTCTCTGTTTACCCATCAGTCTATGTTACTGCCTTCACTTATGGTCACAAACTTTGGGTAGTGACTGAAAGAACAACACTGCAGATGAWGAGGTTTTCACCACAGGGCAGCTGGACTCTGCCTTTGAAACAGGGTGAGACGTTCAGTTGTCCGGTAGAGTCAATGCTCCTCCACATTGAGAGGAGCCATTTGAGGTGGTTTGAGGTGTCTCAAGCATGTCCAATTGGGAGAAGACCCCGRGAAAACCCAGGAAACACTGGAGAGATGTAGTCTTTCTGCTGGCTCGTGAGCGCCTTGGGATGGTCATGGAAGAGCTTGAAGAGGTGACTGGCCTCCCTGCTCAAGCTGCTGCCCCTAAAKGATGGATGATTCTGCTCTTGCTTGATGGAAATGGAAATGAAATTTATTTGTAATCAATGCAAGTTCCCATACAATGGTGAGATTTGTGCTCTATATTTGACCCATTACACTTAAAAAACACTCAAGTGGAGCAGCAGGCAGTTATTTAAGCACATGAGGAGCAGTTGGGGGTTAAATGTCTTGCTCAAGGACACCGGGACATTTGGGCATGGCAGGGAGCCAAACCTATGATTTTCTGATCCCAAGTCAGCGGGCCTACCATTGCTCCACAGTTGCACAAACCTTTCTTATGGTGTCATAAGAACCAGGTAGTTTAAAACAAAACTTGCCAAAAAACCACAAGGTTAACACTCAAATATTGTTTCTTGATTCCCAGAGTTTAATGTAATTAAAATGATCTTTCATGTGCATGATTTCCGTTTTCATCATTTGTAAAAATAAAAAGTAAGATTTAATTAGACTATATTAAGTTTTTAGTTCCATTTCTCTATTAAAGTAATATGTATGAAAGTTACCTCACTCCTGACTCTACAATGTATAAACAATGTGAAACTCTGCAGAAAGCAAAAACAGGCCATAAAGCTCTGAAGAAATGGTCACAAAAGGAAAATCCCTCATAACAGAAAATAGCTGTGTTCATATTTTCCCTCCTTAAAGGCAAATAAGTGTTCCTCAAGGTGGAGAGTGACGACAACGCAACCATGCTCATCCAAATCAAATCTCCAGCCTCTACTTTCTGTGTGATTACACAATAGATTGGAGCCGACTGATTGTCTACCTCCAGAAACTGGTGCCAACATGAGTGAATAGAGAATTGTTGAACTGGTGCAGCCTGTTTCTATTCACGGCGGCTGCCCCGTCGAAGTGGAAGAGTGCTAATGGTGTGGAATAGTAATAGCTGAAGCCTCTTAGAATAGAGCTTGTGAAACACAAGGAAACTGGTGCTGAATGCTATGGCTCAAGTGGACATTATTTGTTCTATTTAGCTAAATGCCCTAAAGCATATGTGGCAAAATTAAAGGCAGACTATATTAAAGTTACTTTTCATTTGTGGGGACAAAAAAGAAACATATTTAAGTTAAAACACTTGGGAAGTGAGACATTTTTCTACAGTCCAACTTAAAAAAAACAATTGTCTACCTTCAGCATTCATTAAGTGCAAAAAGGAAGATAACCCTCATTTTCTCCGTCTTTCATCTCAGCAGCTTTTCCCTCGGCTCTGTGCTGAATTACTGTTCATTGTCTTTCATCTCATTCTTTGCTTTTTCAGAGAAGACGACTTGTCAGGACCAAAGGATTACAGATTCACCATTGGCATCAAATGGCTTATTGCACTCAAGCAGGAAAAAAWAAAMAWAAAAACAGCACAAATAAAATGATGCAACACAGCCTCACAGACAAGGCTTTGTGGGCTATTGACCAGCACTCTTTCAGCTGGAGATTGACTTCATTAGAAATCTACAGGGGAGGATTTTATGCAGTTTTTTTAAAAATGTCCAAAGGGATCCAGACAAAGCTATTCACAGACATTCTGCTGGGAAAAATAAACCCTTAGAATTGCAGAAGATTTATTCATAGCTAAAGGGAGCGATAAACAGTGGATCTTCAGGTTTTGCTGACTTAAAAAAAATAAACAAACACATACCTTAAAACACAGGAGTAATAGCCCACATCATCCAACTCGGCTGGCCGGAACCAAATGGCGTCTTCCTCTTTGCTCATCCTCGTGCCGTCAAAACTGATGGGCTCCTCAAAATCCCCATGCCCTGCACTTTTGTACCACATCAGGCTAAGACCTGTGCTCTGTGCGAGGCTGTAGTTGGCCCGGATATATCCATAGAATAAAGCGCACTTAATGCGGACCGGCTCGCCCAGCAGGACTTTGTATTTCAGGTAGTCCACCGACCAATCCGTGCAGCCTTCCACTGAAACAAGGAGACAAAAAAGAGACAATTTTAAACAATTTGCCAAACTCACTAAGATCATGACTTAGCACCAAAAATTATATTTACTTATGACAAGTCTAAACAGTGTAAAGGAACCGGTGAAAAAATTATAAATTGAGTAAACGGTACAGTTTAAAATGTGCTTGTATTCTGGCAAAGTGCTCATTTTACTCACTTCTCTTTGAATTTTTAAAATAAACTTGTCAAATGTCATAATGAAAGCACACAATGTTATATCTGTTTAGCTTTATGTTGTACGTTTCCTGTAAAGTCATGGACACCAAAGCACAAATAAACAAAAATACTTTAAAATCATTGCTGTCGTTCTGTTAAAATGTCTTAAAGAGGCTATAAATGTCAAGTGGAAAATGCTAAATTAATTTTATACACTATATACAGTATAAGTAAAACAGGCTTATGGAC